CTTTGAATCAAAGGCTTGCACAGTTAAACAAAGCTAATCCCCAAAGATGTACTATTAAACTCATTTCCTGTGCATGGAGCAAATATTGTAATTTAAAAATAACTAATAAAAATAACTAATATTTGAAATGCATCTTCTAGCCATTGTTAAGAGAAGAGTTGGGGTGTGAGCTATAAAACTCTGATCTAGATTCAAACTTTCTCCATATTTGTGGTTTTGTTTTGAGTCTGTCTCTAGTTAGCAGGGATATAAATGTTAAAATTCGCCCATGTGGCTTTAGAGCTGCGCTGTGTTCATAGTAAGTCTTGCTGTTTCAATGCATATTCATTTTAGAAAACATTGCTTTCTACTGGGGTCAGATCCTTTCTTTTACTGGACAAACCATGAGTACTCTGGCAGAGAAGGACAGCTTAACTAGCCTAGTAGAGCTGCAAATGTCAAGTGCTAATTGTTTATGAAAAATAATGTTTGTCATAAATTATCTCAAAGTGAAAACACAAAGCATTACGCTCTTAACAGTGAAGAAAGGAAGTGAATGTCCCATCATGTTCTCTTCTTAGGGAAGCGTTTGTTTGTTAGCTGATGCTTCAGCTTCAATTGCTTGTTACATTTTGGTGCTTGTGCAATTGAAGTTAATTGATGGGAACAGGTTTAAACAGTGAATAGCCTTGATTTTAGGAAGCTGAACTTCCTCACCTAAAGCTAAACACTAAGAATTAAGTGTTGGACTGAGATGAAGTTTTTTTGTTTGTTTGTTTGTTTTTCCTAAATGCAATTGGAAGAACAACTCTCATTTTGGGTAAGAGCTATCTGTTCAGCTAGGTCTGACTGGGCAGTATGTGGGACATTAGGGCTCCAAATTTGAATTTTTGTCTCAAGACATGATAACTTATGGCAGTAAGAAACAATTGCCCAGATGTGAACAGAACAAGTAAGCTAGGTAGTGAATAGGCTTTCTCCTGGGCCATGACCCGTTGTGTCTGCAGCCTGGTGTGTAGCACTTAATGTATGTGCGGACTGACTTCACTCTGAGCAAAGGCTGATAATGTGAACAAACGTGTGTGATGGGCCCGAGATGATGGTGAGCAAGCCCATCAGACTCTGCATGGTGTCTGTTTTCAAAACGGATTTTAGTTCTGACTTCTTTAGAGTTAGGCTCTGGCAGTCATAATTGTGTGGCAAAGAATATACTGAAATGGGTGTACAGTCATGCTCACATGCTTGGCACTTTGTCATAAATTTAATCTATTTACATATTTCCTGCACCACTGTACAAACAAACCAGTGGGCAGAGTCCTGAAACCATTTTCTCAGGCAAAGTTCCAGTTGATACCAAAGAGGTCAGAATAAAATAATCGCTTATTTAGAAGAATTTGAATGTGACCTTTTGAGAAACACTCTTTCCTTTTGCTGACTTTCTGAACCACTTGTTAGGCATTATTGAAAAATCAGTAGGAAATTTCAATAAGTTCAGGCTATGACCCCAGATGAGTTGTCCCTTGCTGCTCCTTTTGCAGCATTGCAGGAGAAATCACTTCTACAGAAACTTGTAGAAAGCTACAGTATTGTTCATCTTGCCTGTTTCTCATTCCTTGTTGGCTTTGCAAGTGTTCCTTTGTTAGACCTGTTAAATCTGTGGGTAAAACCGTGTGTGGTGAACGTCTGTGTTTCAGCATAAGAACTGATGCCAAACCAAGTGCGGTAATGTTTTGCGTGAACATAGAGATCTCATCATACAAGCAGTATGCAATGTACAGTTCTCTGCCACCAGAATATTCTTTTGTTCACAGAGAAAGATACTGAAAAGATACTGGGCAAACTTGACAAAATCGACTGAGGAGCAAAGGACAATTGCATTAAGAAGGCTGAAAGAGCAAATTGTTTCCTTCTTGTGTACGTATAGAAAATGAAAAGAAGAGCTCTTGTTATAGAATCAAAGACTAACAGTGCTTTTATTTATCAGCAGTTTGTACTTACTGACACCGCCATATATTGTGAAGCAAAGTGTTTGTGTAGCAGCTATTCTGCAATACCCATTCCAGTCCGTTTCCATATGTAAGCATGCCAGCACATAGTAATGAAGCAATGATCAAATTTAGTCTATATCATTTGAGACTTAAAAATGTTGTTTGAAGTAAAGGAGTAGGATTAGGAATAGCAACAGGAAGACCGTGATAAATAAAAAAGCTTGTATGTAAAGACGTGGCAATGAAGGTCTGTTTGAGTATGGAATAATTCTTTTTGGAAATTGGTACAGATTTCATTTTCTCTAAGAATTGTCAAAACTGCACCATTTATATGTAGCTTCTCAAGTACATGATAGAAAAGGGTCTTCAAGATTGTGTCCATTGAACTGTCACTCTTCTAATGAAAACAGAATAGTCAAGTGCATCTACATCAGCAAAAATAAGACTTGAGATTTTTTTCTCCCCTTTAGCAAACATCTTGTATGTGATACCAGTCAACATAGAAGTGCTGTTACTTTAAGCATGGCTTTGGCAGATTATGCTGACAGCAGTAACTCAGAGCTCTGCCCTTTATAAAGATTAATGATCCTTGAAATAATAAATATATTGTAAATGCCAAGCCTAGAAGTAATTTTCAATTCATAAACAGAATTGTTTGTGTAACAGCAGACATTTTCTCCCACTATTTCCTATAACATAGCAGAAATAAAATACCAGAGCAGAGGTGCTATTGGAGAGAAAAGATCACTTCATGAGGAATATGTGTGTTGGGAAGGGCAGGAAGAGGGTGATGACAAGACATGTTGCAATATCACATTTGGTTATAGCTTATAGGGGGTGTTGCAAAGAGCTTGTAGCTGTTAACACATCTGAGCATTGTTGACTTTTATTCTGGTTACCATCATTCAGTAGGCAGAAAAATGTTCAGCAGACACAGGTGCCAGAAGCTAGCCTTTTGTGGGTGAGCATTGTTTTTGGGCAGAACCAGTAACTTATTTTTAAATTTGTTGCAGTATAGGCCTAGCAGTAAATTAATCGTGACATTAAGAGGGAATGTATGCATAGACATTACTTCAGAGTTGTCATAAATTCTGCGCTTGCCATATTTTAATTTCCAAGACTTTTGAATCTCAGACAAGGTGCTATAGATGTAGTTATTAAATTCTGCAGCAATATTTTTATTGGGTAGGACGTTGCTTGATGATGTAGCTGTGAAAGCCAAATTCAGAGACTAGCAAAAGGTTCTTTATCCACGCATTTAGGAGGAAAAATATTATTTTGTAACACTCACTTGTTACTGAAATACTTGTTTTAAATTTACCTCTTCTTTCCTGAATGAATGAATGTACATATACCCACATACATATGCACGTGTATATGCATATACAGACAAAAATAAATGAGATACATAGGCTTACTAGTTTGTTAAACTATCTTACAGCTTTCTTGTAGTGTATTGCTGAACTCTGTAGGAGTGCTTGTACAAGGGAAAGAGGAATTGCAGCCTCTCTCAAAAGAGAGTTGTGACAATATAAGGTCTGTCATTGGGGCATCAATAACATGCAGGTGGAAACACCACTTGGGAAATAGTGGAGTCTGATTCTCACTCCTGTGGTTCAGCAGACAAGTATTTGTAGAGCGACCTGAGGACATCCTGCCCTTTCTCAGCTTTGAGTACATTTGAGAAAAGACATTGGATAAGATATACACAAAACTCTCTTCACAAGTTTGCATAGTGTTCTTCTTTCAGTGCATAAATTAACTCAGTGTAGTTTTAGCCTTTAATCTCACATAAATTAGATTAAATATTGCTGGAAAAAGTGTCTGGTTCCCTGCTTTTCAAAGATGTTTCCTTTATATGCACTGGAAGGGGAAGCCATGTGCTGTACCAAAATATGTGTTGCTAATTATTTGGTTTCTCTTGGGGACTGTTTTATTTGGGTGGGGGCTGCTTTTCCCTTTAAACAAAACATATAGGACAGTCAGATGCTAGAGGAACCTTAAAATAGGTTGTCTGCACTGAGGGTGTGGGAATATCAGACAAAACACGTAATGGCAAAGTGCTGGCAGAGTTGAAGACCCACCTTGACCCCCCCCCCCCCCTCATCTGGGTAACAAATCTGTGCCTGCTGAGAGTGGAGATGGCATCAAGTACCTCAAAGGCTGGTATGGGAGTTTGGTTACAGATCCTCGGTAGGTATTTTCTGGGTAAGCGAAGGCTGTGACCACATCAACAACTGCTCCGTGGAGGACTGTATGAATTCTCTTATACCCCGCGGTAAATTCAAGGTAATGCAAAGCAGCTTATGCCTTTATTTACCCCAAGGGAGTGTTGACATGAGCTGTTACCATGGAATGCCTGCCAGGTAGCCATACTCTCAGATCTTGTAACGCTTAGGAACTAGCCCAAAGCGCTTTGCTCAGGTTCATCCAGTAAATTTTCCTAGCTCTTAGTTGTTTGCTACATAAACCATGATAGCAGAGCTATATCAGATGACAGAGCCCTACAGTTCCTTGCTTATAGCCTGGAACAAAGTCTGAGTTTTGTATCAAGTTTAATTTGATGTAATAATAACTTATATAGTGCAAACATACCAGATCTATATTCCATTGCTGGAATTAATCAGAAAAAAGTCACGTGTAGAATTTTGCTCTTCATCTTTGTTTTAAAAACATACTAATTCCTGGTTTGTGTTTAACAGCATTGGTAAGTGAAGTTCTTTGCCACAGAACAGGTGCAAGGCACCGTCCTGCCCTGCCAGCACGCCTCGGTCATGACTCGCAGAGCCAGAGCTTGGCCTGTCTGATGAAACTGCCAGTTGTGTTGCAAACACCTACTTAACAGAAACTGGAAGTGAAATCACTATTTCATTTAACATTGGCCACCTATTGGATAATAACTTTCAGTCACTGTAAGACTGGGCTGGATTTGAAACAGCAGCCCGTTGCATTGAAGGCTCTGTTTCCCTCTGTGATCTGCTGAGCCAGCTGGTTCTCCAGAAGCATTTGGAAAAATGTGAGTGGAGGGTAAGAACATGAAATTTCCCTGTCTTTTTAAACGTGTTTGTCTGTGTCTCATTCTCACATGCATCGTTTAAGCCAAGACATTTCAGTCCTCAGTTCTTTGATGCCATTTGGCTTCAATTTCCACATGAAATGCTTGGAAACTAAAGATGACTCAGAAGGGGTTGAAACCCTTGTCCTGCAAGACTCTTTGTGAAGCAAGCAAACGATTTCCTTTGTATGAAGCAAGTGCGTGCTCTGAGCCCCTGATTTAGCTTGGTTCCTCTTCCCTCTCTCAACACACAAGGCCTGGGACATTTCTGCCAAGAGTTGTACTTGCACTTAAGGTACAAGTCCCTGAATTGTCCCTGATAAGAAGTAGCCATTATTGAAGTCTTGTGGCTTTGACTGTGAAGGCTTTCAAGTTTTTTTTTTTTTTTTTTTTTTTTTTTGTGTGTGTGTGAAGACTGCCTATCCATTTATAGTTGTTATATAAAAATGTGAGTGAGGGTTTATCTCTTCCTTTTAGATGTATGGCTCTAGCTCTGGAATTGCTTCCAAGTTTACAAAATGAGTCTGGTTTAGACCTCTCTGATAAACATTTTTTTTTGTTGCTGTTGCAAAGTTGGATCAGAGTTTTGTTGTCATAATGGTTGGTGCACTTGGCAGCTTGCATTTTAAATAATTAGGAGATAAAATTGGACTGTGTTTGAATTCAGTATGTCTGGTATTTTCTTGCTTTACTTGGTTATGTTTTTAATCCCCCTTTTAACTTTGAAGACTAATGTAAGACAGTTAAGAACTGAGGGCTGGTAAATTTTTTTTGTCATTTTTGAAACCTAGATCCAAGCCAGCTTCTCTTCAATATTTCAGCCTCGCCCTCCCAGGACACTTAGAGATAGATCAATGTCTTTATCAAAAGAAGTGCGCCTTTTGTGATGGTAACACTGTAACATTAAATATTCATTCTAATCTGCAGTTGAGACAATTACATTGTTCCCAATATATTTTACTTTGGATTATGAAGTTTTAAAAATATGCCACTTAAATTTCAACCTACTATAGCTGGTAAGGGAGTTTACGGCTCTGATGCATCAGAATTGAGATAGTTTTGCAACACTTGAGGAAAATCTTCAGTATTCTTCACATGGAGCAAAGCGATCAACTTAAAGGATGGCATTGATAGGTGTTGTTTTTTTTTCTTTTTGCTGAACACAATGCTGTAGGTATGGTGGGAGAGGAAGTGCAGCAAAATAACAGGCTAAACTGTTGAGAAACATTCATCCCATCTAAGGAACCTTTGCTGTGTGAAATGTATATGTTAAAAATATATTCTAGAATTCAGTTACACTGAGGAAAAGTTCCTGATACATGGTGTTGTTCTGCACTTATTGAGAGCAATTGGTTCCAGTCCTGGTCTAGAAGTAGATGAATTGTAACAACAGAAGTAATTTCTATATTATTAGAATCCAATTCTGGAAAAAAAATAAAATAAAATGCAAACTGGCCTTGTTAACTGTAGTTTGGCAATATACTCTGAATTCACAGAATGGAAGCATGGAAACACAACCTTGCTCTAACGTGAGCTGAGTTTGTTCATATATTTTGTTGAGTTTTTATATGAGTTTGTTGATGTATTGACTACTCCATTTGCTTTCTTTTGAAGGCTCTACATTCACTTTATTATCATTACAGTTGATTCTATGTAGAGATTGGGCCTCCCAGTTTTTCCTCTGGGCAGCTTGTGGTGGGAGACCAAGATGCACAGGCAACTGGTAAGGCAGATTTGTTCTGCTGGTGGCACTAGTTAGTGTGGGGGGAAGTAACTGGGAGTGTCGTGAACCAACAGTTGGGGCTCTTGCCCAAATATGAATAAGAAAACATACGCTAACTGATCTTCTCAGGGCAAGTGTGCTCCCTCTTTTAGAAAAACTAGAGACTGTGGGAATTCACTGAGCTATGTGCACACACAGATAATTTTAAACTGTGAAAATAGAAGTTTAAATAAAACACTGAAATTTAAATGGTAAAAGTATATACATAAAATTCCACAAGCTGTTTCCTTGTGGAATGTGACTTGAGGAGTGGAACACCCAAGTTTTAAACTTCCTCCCTTTAGAATTTATGGAAGCCTCAAACTTTCTTTTCTTTTTTTTCTTTTTTCTTTAATGTCAGGACCTGTTTCAGTATTTAACTTTTTTTTTTTTTTTAAAAAAAAGCACTCATATATAACCCCTGTACTTCTCACAACTTGATTTAATGCAGCTTCCATGTGTCTTGAATACAATGGTAACTTCTGAAACCAATATTTCTTTAGAGAGCAGTTAAGTTGTTTCTTCGTGACACCAGTAAGTAGTTTTCTTGCCAAGAAGTATATTGTAAGATTTATTGGACTCTCTGTTGCCCTCCCCCAAGTAACCCAGATTTTAGCTTCAAGTAAAGCAAACATGTTCAAAAAGTACTCTTTAACTTTAGGCTAGGCGGATACAAAATAAAATCCTCCAGGGGTACATTACAACTAAAAGATTCACAAGCCCTCCAGGGGGTTTAACTTTTTAAGTAGGCATTTCACAAGTATTTGTTGCATAAACCATTATATGCTCCAGGCTGGGGTTCTTGGAGATTTTTTTTTTATATAAGACATGCAGCAGTAAATGTATTTTTGTGGAAAATAATATCTTGTCCTTGCTTAGACATGATGTTCTGTGCTTTAGAACATGTATTTTCTTGGTTTAATATTAACTATCAAATTTCTTGGACTGTCATTTTAGCCCGTTTGGTACCTTGGGGTGCTACTACATGGAAATGGAGATCATACACTCCAATTAGCTTTGTTCACCCATTTTTCTAAATGGAGTACTTGTGATATACTGCAACTCCATCACTGGCATTTGGAAAAACAGGTTTTGGAGACTGCAAAAGCAATGACAGCCATTTATATGTTGTTCTTACGTAACTAAATAGACCAGATAGGCACAAAGGCCCTAGAAAACAGCACATCAGTAAGAGGATCTAGGTAACCTTTCAGATTTAGGAGACCTGGCCTCACTTTCTAGATCTTTGGGAGAGTACCTTGTAAGCTTGAATGAATTTTGTTTCCGTATTGTGTGTGTTCATCTTTCCCACAAAAGACAATTATCTTTTTTTTGTTTTTCCTTTTGCACGTTTCTTTCAATTTTTAACTCCTGGGGCAGAGTCCCTGTATTTGAGTGTGCAGACTGTTGTCTCCAGTTTCACTGGGACCTCCAAGTGCTACTGAAATGCAAATGATAAATAAGAATGAGATGTGGAAAACAAGTAATGTAAGTCAGAAAACGGTCCTTTTAAGACTGTAACAGGAGGCAGTACAAGGAGTTTAATCCAACTGTAAGCCTTCCAGAAGTGACTGATGAGGTATAATTCAAAGAGATTTTGGAAGAGAAGCCCTTGAGTATTACAGGCTACCAAGCGACAAGAAAGCATAGGAAAAGAGTCTTGATTGTCTTTTTAGACGACTTGCTAGTAGAAATGTTGCATTTAAATAAGAAAGATAATCAGTTCTAAATAGAAGGAGTAATGGTCTTAAAAGTGCAGGAAATGATAGAACAGAACAGTGATATTTAAATAATCAGACAGGAAGGATACAGATGAAATACTGAAAGCTTCAGAAAAAAACAGGAAGGGAATGTAAATCCAGGCAAATTCTTTCTTTCCAGGTCTGAATCCCTTGCATAAAAAAGAAGAGTCCTGTTACCTGTAAGAATACAGTCTTAAAAAAGAGCTGAAGCCAAAATACTGCCTGCATTACAGCAGAGAGGCATATAGTAGCAAGGACTTTCGGTTCAACAGATGAACAGTTACTGGTGGACAGTCATTCTGTGTCCACAGATACTATGATGCCTAAAATAAGGAGAACTGCTAGACCTTACTAAAGTGAAATAGTACTTATATTGGTACTTTAGTGTTGGAAAGGCTCTTGGTAACATGAGATCTAGAATGGGCCACTCCCTGTGCCTCCATTTCCCAGAAGAGACTAGTTCTGCCTGTTTTTTTGTTTTGTTTTGTTTTCCAGAAATGTCCTTATCTCCAACAGGAGCTCATCAAGCAAGACAACTCTAAGCTTGTTTCTACCAAACTCTGTGTCAGGACTGTAATTCAGGAGTGAACCTTGCTTTAAAGCCCTAATTTGAAGGAGCAAAGATGAAGCCCTGCCTGCATTACAGTGTAAATGCTTCTACCCTGACTACATGAAGTTTAGCTGTGTATTGTTCTGACTGCCAAAGGATTCTGCTTACTCCTTGCCTCACGTGGAAATTTGAAAACTATTCATGAGAGAGCAGATTTGCTCAATTATTGATTCATTCCACACACTGTGTGCTTTGTAAGTTGTATTTCGCATAAAAGCATGTGGTGTTAGGCTGGTGCAATCAAGGAGGCATCACTAGTTAATCTAGCTGGCATGATAATCTGCTGGATTTGTGCACATCATAAATATGATTGGCTTAGTGCCTGGAGAAGTATGAAATTGTTCCTGGTGTGGGCATGTGCTGGTGGGAGAAGGAAGAGGTGGCAGACAGTGGTTCTCATTAATTAGTAAGTGGATTGATTCCTTAAGCAGAAATGTACTACTTGCGATAAATCTTTTTTTTTTAAATCCCAGCTTCTGTATTCAATTTTACCTCTCCTATAGTGGAAGAGTTAATTATGTTAAAAGGCTTGTACTCAAGTTATTTATCTTCAAGGATTTTTCTCTGTAACTTCTGAAAATGTTTTGATGTCTATCACAGATCCTCTTTGAGGTTGGAGTGTTCTGGCTCTGTCACTTCCATTTGTGTTCTTGTGTTTGGACCTGACAAATTGTACCCATTTGTGCTGTGGTTACAGCTGATGTTGGTTTTCCATTTTATGGGCCAAATACAGTCCTTGGATGCATGTGTGCAGTTCCCACTGACTTCAATCATCTGTCTATTTTATTTATAGTCTTTTTCTTCCTGACGCTCATCGTTTCAGCGTAACAGTATTGCCCAAACAATGCCTTCTCCTAATCTCCTGTGGCCTAAATAAACTGAAATGCGCCAAATTCTTTTCATGTTTACACCAACACAACACCTGTCTTTGGCAGTGAATGTGTGAAAATTAGATACTTGTTTCAGTATGCCTGAAGTTTTTATGTCTCATCCCTGTTCATACAACTTGTTCAACTTGTGCAAAGTCTGACTACATTAATGGAAAAGCAAATCTGATTCTAGAGGAGCAGTGCTATTAGTCACATTATCTGCAGAAGTGAGATAGCTGACAGTAATAGCTGTGTTGTTTCAACTTTTTCTCACTAAAAATTACTTAAGTGAAATGTAAATTACGTAAATGAAATTGCTAGAGGGGCTTTGAGGGCACTGTTACATGGCAGTTAGTTCACCGTTCATCTGGGACAGAAAGATGTACTTGAATTTGAGAGGCAATGTTACTCCTAAATTCAAGCTGCCATGCTTCACAGGAGGACATGCAGTATAGCCAACTTCCACTCAACTATCATGAATACAGGTTTTTTGGCAGGTTTTGAAACCTCTTCAAATGCATATGGAGGTGCAAGAGGAAGGAACGACTTACTTCTGGGAGGGGTATGGGAGCGCCAGGCCAACCTTACAGACGCCTGCAACCTCCTGGTCACAGCAGGAGGTCTGCACTGTAAGGCGCTCGGCTAGAAGAAGCCATGCTTTCACTGCATGTAATGTGCTATTCACCATCCTGGTTTAGTATTGCAGTTTTGTAATTTCCCTTGGCAGCTTTACAGTGCTTGAGAATAAGTAGGAATGGAATCAGGGAGGAGAGGGAAGTGAATTGCCCATCTAACTTTTCAGTGCAGTTGAAAGTGATTGCACCTCTCCATAGCAGCAAGCTCATCCACAGGGACTTGATACTAATGTTTGCAGTGTCTCTAGACACTGCTAAATAAGCCTTTTACCTGAGGATTACCATTTCAGCTGGGATCCCTATTAATAGGTACTTGATAGCTTCTTAATGAGACAAGTTGTAATTTCTGTTCCAGTTCCTGCAAGAAAGTGCACTGGTATCTTTTGCCCCATGTCCGTGGCTTTCTACCCGTTCTGAGTTGTTTAGAATTTTTTTCTGCTTGGAGTTGAAATCGGATATAGTGAGTTGAAGGCTCTGACATGTAGGCATAGACCCTCCAAAAGTAGTCCATAAAGCCCCAGCAGGCTGCGGACCACAGCTAGGACCTGACGGGATGGTCAGGGCAGTTCCCAGAGATCCCCTCCACTATTCAGGGTGGCTGCAGTGAGAGCTCACATACAGAAGACTGAAATCAACACTATGGCAGTGAGATTTGTTGTTGTTATTATATTATTCAGGTAGAGGGGGCGATTAGGAGGATTCAGAAACTGCCCTTAAAACTTTCACATTTCCTACTTAAATTTTAAAGAGTAGCATTCCAGTGAATTCTCAAGATTTCACAGTATCTTATTTTTAAAGCATTTTTGGAGTAAGATCTTGCTTGAATGACAACTGCTGTTTGCCCTTCAATCACTGCGCTTGCTCTGGACTGACTCTAACCATGATGTAAGTGCATGAAATAGTTCCTGAGGTGTTACAACAGTCCTCAGTGGGGAAACACCTACTTGTTTAGATTCTCATTTCTGGTGTCTTAATGACCCCTTAATAGTTCTTTAGTTTTTCTACTACATGTATATGTGAAATAAAATACGCTAATAAATTAACTTTGCACTTAGCCTGGAGAGTGTTGTTCATGACAGTCTGCAGAACAACCAGTTCTACAAACCAACTGGAGCTTCAGAGCACAAAACCAGATTTTTCCATCTGTGTGAAATCCATTGGAAATGGAATATGGAAAGAAGAAAAAAAAACTGTAAATACCTTTCTGGTAAACTCCTTTGTTCTGTTTTAGAAAATGCTTCACATAAACCAAGCTAAGATCAATTTGTAGCCATAGGGGTGCTGGATGCTGCCCCAGCTTTGGCTGCTGATGGCTCATCAGCTCCTCTGTGGCAGTGTCCCCTTGGCTGGGACAAGTCCTGCTACAGCATGGATGGAAAATCTGAACCAAGTTTAGATTATGTTCTCTCTTTTGGGGCTAAAGCAGATTTGGGAGGGAGCAGGGGTGATGAATCTCATGGGTTTTCTTTGATCTCTTCCTGCCTGTGTGATATGTAGCATTTCCTTAGGACTGCAGAGCAGCAGTCAGTCCTGTGGATGCAACTGAAACTCATTTCTGTGTACAGATCCTGCTAGGCTCCTTTCTACACTTACTTACAGGAGAAAGGGGGAAGATTAGCCTCATTTTGCTGCCCACATATTACGTTGAACATGAGGGATTGAAATCTGAATAGTGTGCTGTTGAATTCTTGCTGGTTGATTTCTGTGGAGAGCCTGCATGTCTCATTTTAATTTTTCTTCATTTTTGATATTTCTTTTCCTTCAATTCTTCCTTTTTTTCAGTCATTTGAAATAGGGGATATAACTTGAAACTGGAAGCAAAAAATTTGCTTTGAGAGATCAAGAGTCCTTTAAGCAGCTTACTGGATCAGCAGTCGCAAAGTTATCGGGAGGCTTGAACTCTTTCTATGGCTTTAACAGGAGCAGCACAGTGCTGGAGCAAACATCACAACTCTGCATCCTCAAGGGAAGACTTAGTGCTTTACACATACAAGCAGAACTAAATACTGTACTTTGATGTACTCCTTTTTTTTTTTCCTTTATTGTTATTACTTTCAACCTGTTGGGAGTAAGTTTTTCTGCGCTCCTGGTTCAGATTTCCCTTGATGTTGTGTGGATCTCGTGTGCACTACATAAAACTAGAAAGAAGGACACTTCTTGATGGTGGTAGCTGTCCTAACAGCTATAAGCTACGGATTTGTGTCAGTGTGAGTTTTATGCATTTCCATGTGTAAAACAGTGCTCTTAATGTCACAGGATTGTTGCACTGTCTAATATTTGCTGTATGGCTGGTACTCTACTGTGGTAGGTAGAAGCAGAAAGAACACCCAGCGGCCAGATCGCAGGGGCTGGTGCTGTGTGAGGTTGCACTCAGTGCTCTCTGACCAGGCACAGTAGCAGGGCTCTGATTTTCAGCCTGCTTTACCAGAGGGTTTACTACGGAAGGTCAGTAACAGCCAGGGGGTAACTATCTGTCTTGCCACGTGTTTAAAAATAAAAGCCTTGTATTTTTATCTAGGATGTCTCACGCGCTTTGGAAAAAATGAGGCAAAGGAGTGTAATGACCAACTGGGTTGTCCCCTGTGGTTACAAACAGCTATGCCATATAAGCATGTTTATAAACTGACCAAGATCTGTTAAAATAAAATAACCCAGTAAATCTCCAGGTTTTTTGAGTACTTGCTTGTTTTGGGGGTCAAGGGGAAGAGGAGATTGCGCTCTTTTTCCTGTTGAAAAGGTGTTTCATAGCCTAACCTTTGATGGGTAAGAATCTACGTCTAATTTCATACTAACTTATAGAAGCACACCTTTTTAGCAGTAAAAGCAAGGCTTTGGAGAAGGAAAACTAACAGCTTGTGTATGGAAGCATCAGATTTCAATCACCGAAGTGCCCTGGCTCTACAGGTCCGAATCCTGGCAGTGGCTGTGTTTGTTCCTCAAAGGCAGATAAATTAGGCACCATGGATTTCACTGTCATGAAAGGTTAACGTTTCCTTTTGTGTCCTTTAAGACCATAGGATGTAGTCCGTATTTAATACAATTTGTCCCAATGTCCCTGATTTAAATTTTTCTCTTTTCTGTTCCCCAATGCATGTGCAGTGCCCTAAACTGATTTCAATTCATGAAACACCGTGTTAGATAAAGACATGTTGAAAACTTCCCTGCTACCATGCTGGTATGCTGTGGGAATTCAAATACAAACCACACCTCTACAACAGCTGAAAGTACACGCGTGTGTGCGTGTTGACATAACAAAAAGGTATTTTGAACTGTTCCCAGGGTTTGTTGGAAGGCAAAAATATCCTGTAAAAGTCCATATGGAACATTCGTGAGGTACTGCAGTAGCAGGAGTAGAGATTCATTTCCTGAAGTCCAGATTTAACTAAATTTCCTGCTGAAACTAGTAGTCATGCTGAAATACTAGCAGTAAAGAAAGTGGGGCAACACAAAGCTGATCTGGAATCCTGCTGAGAATTTTACTTCCCAGACAATGTTTGTCAAAATAGTAACGCTGATAAAGCTTGATTTCAAAAACTGTCACATTTTACTTTTTTCTCCTGCTGTACTAAAGTTGCTGGAATGTTTGTTTTTTTATACTTTTGAAATGAATATTTCTTAGGTTTAAGCAACTTTTTGTTCAGGTATTTCATTTAAGCAAATAAACAAGTAAGGAGATTAAAATTGAAACAAATCTGTTTGCAAATAAACGCAATAAATATCTGGATATTTTGTTTGGCCCTGGAAGATGTAAAAAAAAAAAAAAAAAAAAACTTGTGACTCAAAAAAAAGAAAAAGAAAGAAAGCCTTCCTTAAGACCTTTAGATATGTAAATTTTCTGATGTTTTGAAAACTATTTCTTGTCCACTTCTCTGAGGCTTTTGGCTCACATTATTGTATGGAAGTCTGTGTTTAAAATCTACTTTGATCTTGCTTTATATATAGAAATATATGCTATGAACATTTTATAGTTTGTTTGTTACCCAAAATAATTGGGAACTTGCCATAATTGTATATCCAACCACATTATAGTGAAATAAGGCTGAATTTCCCATATGTGGCACAAATGTTGCCTCAGATCTGACAATTCACGTGACAGCTTCAAGAAGGTTTAGCTATACTTGGCTTTAAAGGGTGTTTTAGCTAATTAGTGTATTAGAGCTCATGGGCCACGGCTTGTGAGTTCAGAGCGTCTGCTAATTAAGTTTTGAATGTAATGTTAGTTAAACTATTAAAGCGTTGTCCCAGGGCTGTTCTCATTAAACAGAACTCCAGCTCTCCTGGTTTTTCTTTGTTCAGAGCTCTCTTGCAAGTGCATGGAGGCACATCTGGTATTGGCTATGGCATCCACATGGGTCTAAAACTGCAGCAAAAGAAACAATGCAGTGAAATTTATCTGGGAAAGCAGTGAGATCACAGCACATTTCCCTTGAGAAAACCATGAACCTTTTATATGATCTGGCTTAGTACAGAACTCTTAACCATCAAATTTAAGGGTATATGAAATCCCAAAGGATGGAAATGGAAATATTTTTTTTGTTTAGTGAAAGCTAGAGGACACCAAGAGAGTGATTTCATCTCTTCCTCCAGAATTCATTTAGGGGCTGAGTGACATGTAGGTAGTTACTTCCACTGGATATAGGATCACATATGAACCACCTGTGACTTGGCTTACATTGAAACTTTGCAAATCTTTAACTGTTGTATTTCTGGTGCCATAATGTCATTTTGTTTACTGGCTTTGGGTTTTTAATTAAATTTTATGGGACTTTTGCCCATGATATGGATTAGGCCCATTTTGTTACTATGGGAAAAATAATTGAACAAAATTTAGTTGTTTTCCTTCCTTGTGGTTGTGTAGCATATTTTATTCCTGATTCTTTTTTCACCCTACCTGTCTTTCACTGACCCTTTTTTCCCTCTCGCTTCATTTTTCCTTTGTGTCATCTTTTTGCTTATAGAGAGAGAAGCTGCTGGGGTGGCGGTGCAAAGTGTGCACTGCTGTGCCAGGACCGCAGCTGCCGGTCACTCTGTGGTGGGTCACCGCCTGGATGAGCTGGAGGCTGGCTACCAGCTGGGAAGTGGCAAGGGAAGCCAGGAATGTGTGTTTGGTTTGCCACACACGAACACTTTGCAGCAAACAGCACCCAGCACCTCTGCGCAGAGATGCTGTCCTGTAGAGATGCTGACAGACCATTGCTTTTTCTGGGTATAGCTTTATGATGGTGTTTAGCTGTGTTTTTGTGTATGATGAAAGTGAGTTTTGCTTGAATGTTGAGTTTGGCTTGAAGTTCATGGATTGGGCCAATCTGAAACTCCAAATGAACTTCAGAAGATATTCCCTCAGCAAGCTGTAGCCACTGTCTTGGTTTATCCAAGCAGCAGGGACTTGCAGCACTCAGCGCTAAGAAAGCCTTTCAGTCATGTTCAAGAGCAGTATTTGCTCATAGCCCTGACTCCCAGACCTGTCCTCTTTACTTCTTATCCACATCAGGCACAGTCCTCCTGCTTCTTCCTGGAGTAACAACACAGCTGAGCACCAACAGCGTTCCAGATTCCAGCTCTTTTTTTAATGCTGTTTCTCTGGCAGCACTTGTCGAGACTGTGGCATGTTTTACTCAAATTCTGGTTTTCTTTTTACCAAGAAGAAACCACACCATTCCCTCAGCTGGCTTGGCAAACTATTGCAGTGATTTAACAGTCTGAGGCTCTGTGAGGCTCCTGTTGCTGCTCAAATTTTTAACCCTTTTCTGATGTGTAGGGGAAGAGTCACGGCTTCTGAGACTGTAAGACAGTAGCTTGACTTGAATGTGTTTTCCTGCCAGGCTGATGGGCTGATTTTTCATGACCTTTATTTCTTTGAAATTGACAGCACTGATAAACATTTTTTTGCAATTTTACCCTATATTAATTTTTCTTTTCACCCAAGTTAAGCATCAAAAAGAGAATAATTGTTTATTGGTTTCGTTTGTCCTGTAATAAGTCTCTTCTTTATTCATGTCTTTGCTATTAAATAGTTGTTTTTTGTTTGGTTGTTTGTTTTTTTTTTTGGAGGGGAGCAAGTTTTGACAAGCAATTGAACTTTGTAAATGTGAGACCAAACACAAGGACACTGCTGGTCCTTCTACAAACGAGATCTTTGCATAGTGTATTAGTGTGAGATCTTTGCATAGTGTATTAGTGTATTTATTGGTTGGTGTCTTGGGATGAGACCATAGCACTTGGAAACATTGGAAACAATAAACCATTCTGTTCTCTTTCCTGTCAAAAACTTTAGGATTGGTGGAAAAAGTGAATTCATCAACAGATCTATTTTTTTAATGTAAAATCTGGTTATTATATTCATAACTTCCTCCACTAATTGTTCCTAAGTAGTGTGATGTCCGTGTTGAAGTAGAAGCTCAAATTAATTTGGTGGTGAGATTATTACAAATAATAATAATTGCATATAAATAATATTTGGCATGATTGCCTGAAACTGTTAGTGGTGTGGATAATTAGAATACTGTTTAGCAAAGAAAATATTCTTTGAATGTCTGTAACTGTGGCCAGAACGAAGGAGCATACGCTCATATGCCATCCTGACATTTCTAAGGTGATCCCTCCCTTTCCATGGAAAAAGTTTCAAGTAGAGCTGAACGTGTTTCCCCAGGTTTCCCATCCCTTTCCATCCTCACTATGGTAAAACACAGTGTATAGAGAATGGCAGCAGGTCTCTCTATCAGCCCAGTTACTGTAAGACTGCTCATTACTCACTACAGTCAGTGCAGAGCTCTTTCTTACAACACCTTTATCTGCATGTCATTGAAAAATGTGCCACAAAAATGAAAATACCTTGCTAAAGTTTATTTGGGAGCCTAGTATTAAGAGGAGAACTTCTCTCCTAAAGTCATGGGCTAATACTAAGTTCATCTGTGTAAAGTCTTTTGAAATTGTATTTCCCTTTCCTCTCTCTCCTCACTTTTTCCAACTAAGCCTCTTTGTGAAATTCCTTTTCTCCTTCCTTCCATATCTGCTCTTTCCCCTCCATGTCAATCTATTTCCACATTTCTGCTCTCTGAGAAACAGCAGAATTTCTCGTGTCCTAGAGTGAGGTTTTACTAAGAGAGATCTCTGCTCCAGCACCACCACTGCTAGAGCTGAGTCTCCTTTTCTCACTCTTCCTTGTTGGCATAAAATATAGAGAAGTGGGGAAGAATAAAAGTTTAACTTTTATTTGAATAATAGTAAAACTGCGTGGCATTACTCATGAGTGCATTCAAGGGGGGTGACAAAGTAAATATACAGAACATTTTATCATAGTCCTATATGCCACTTAGGGTTGTTATTCAGGAGGTGGGATGAGGAGGGACTTTCACATTATTTGGGGTCTTCTGTTGAACTATTGTGTTTAGAGTCTGAATATTATTTCAATTTTTAGAAACTTCCAAAATACAACTGGTATTCAAAGTTTGCTTAGTTGTGTATTCAGCTGCGTTTCTATGATCATAAATTTCTGTTGTTTCAGTCATAAAAGATACTCCCAAATCTCTCTCATATTCTATTCATTTTAGAAGTAGAGTCCCTTTTGTATATATCAGATTTATTTAATGAAATTAACCGTCCTCCTTCCCAGAATGATTTTGATGATTTAATCCTTATGGAATTTGATAGGAAATGTAATCTTGTTCTTGTATGTAGCACTTTAGTTATGATCTTCACAGCTGTGAACTAGGTTTCCCTTATGCCTGTCTTACTTCCTATGTCTCTGTTAATACGAATTTGGCCGAGTGTGGTTTATAGTTAGATTTCACGCTCATTACAGTGTGACATGAACTGATAGCCTGCTGAAATGGGCATTCAGAAGCTTAATAGAGGGGAAGGCTTGCTGGTGTGCTCAAAAAATAAACACTGTGAGGAAGTTTTTTCATTAGATGGGGCTGGGAACTGTAAACTCTGGGAATCTGAGAATTATCTCTGTACATATCTGAGTACTTAGAGATAAACCAGGGAAGGTGTGAGATTTCAGCTTTAAGTCATACCTGTCAAGGGTTAATGGGGGTTGAAGCTGGGCTGCTTCCTTTGCAGGGTATCCTTTTACATACATGCTTTTAAAAACCTGCTAAACAAATACAATCTGGCCCTTGCTTAAAAACCCGTTCTCACTTTCCTAAGGTTTAACGAGGGTAGTCTGTCCAAATCTGCGCACATACCATTTGATATCACATGGGAGAATCATAACTACAAGTAGAAAAGGGCGTAGACTTATCCGACGTGTAATGTCTACCGGGAGTCCATATCCTACCTGACACCTGAGCTGAGGTCTCAGGATTATGCATACCTACTTGGAACAGCTCCTTTGCAACTTCAGTTTTCTTTAAATTTGATATTTGTCTACCAATGTGCCCAACTTCTTATAAACGTGTTTAAAAAAAAAACCTCCTGTGTTTTCCAGAATTCGCCTTTATCATATATATTGCTGTGTTTATTATTTTTTGGTAAGGACATCTGATTGCTTGCATGATTGCCACAATGAAAGCAAACATAAAACAAAAATACAGAAGAATTCACAAGCTGATAGATCGGTGAATTAAAAATGAATAATAATAATAATTATTATTATTATTATATGAATTTTCATTTAGGAAGATATTTTACTGAATAGAGGCATAGATTTTTCTGTTACAGCCTTTTCCTATAACTAAATTTGCTGGAGGCAACTGTTCTCTTTAAATCAGAACCATGAAGAGTAAGTATCATGAGTGTTGAGAAGAGCTGTTGG